AATGTAGTATACATTATTGAACCCATCTTTCTCAGTCTCCCCCCAAACCCAATGTCAGTCCTGTTTTACAACAGTAGCACCATGCAATATTTGTCCTTTTGTGACTGAGATACTTCACTCAGCATAATGTCCTCCAGTGTCACCCATTTTGAATAATATTGCATTAGTTCCTTGTTTTTCAATGCAGTGTAATATTCCATTGTGTGAATATACCACAGCTTCTCTATCCATTCATTTGTTGATAGGCACTTAGGTTGTTTCCAACTCCTTGCTATTGAGAACAAAGCCGCAATAAACGTGCATGTGCATATATCTGCTTGGGTGTCAGTTATGGTCTCTTTGGGGTACATTCCCAGTAGTGGAATTTCTGGGTCAAATGGCATCTCTATTTGCAACTTTTTGAGAAAGCATCGTACCACCTTCCACAGTGGTTGCACCATTTTACACTTCCACCAACAGTGAATAAGGGTTCCATTTTCTCCACAATTTCGCCAGCATTTGTTGCTTGCTGTTCTGTTAAATTTTGCTATTCTGACTGGGGTAAGATGATATCCCATAGTTGTTTTTAACATATATACCTTTTAAACAGTTCTCTCTCTCATCTGTTTCAATGCAGTATATATAATTTATCTCATCTTTCTCAGTCTCCCCCCCACCCCACCTCTAAGTCCTGTTTTACAACAGTGGCACTAGGCAGTATTTGTCCTTTTGTGATGGAGATATTTCACTCAGCATAATGTCCTCCAGGGTCATCCTGAATAGTATTTCATGAGTTCCTTGTTTTTCAATCCAGTGTAGAATTCCATTGTGTGAATATACCATAGCTTCTCTATTCATTCATTTGTTGATGGGCACTTAGGTTGTTTCTAACTCTTTGCTATTGTGAACAAAGCTACAATAAACATGGGTGTGCATATATCTGTTTGGGTGGCGATTATGGTTTCTTTGGGGTATATTCCAAGTAGTGGAATTGCTGGGTCAAATGGTATTTCTATTTCCAACTTTTTAAGAAAGCGCTATACAGCCTTGATCTTTTCAATCATTTGCTATGTACCTGAGAGCTGGCCAGTGAATAAGGATGACAGAAGAAGAATTGAGGACATTGAACTGTGGTGTTGGAGAAGAGTACTGAATATCCCATGGACTTCCAAAACAGATATGCCTTGGAGAAAGTGTAGCCAGAGTGCTCTTTGTAGGAAAAGATGACAAAGCTTTGTCTCACATACTTTGGGCATGTTGCTGGGGGGACTACTGTTCCTTGGAGAGGGATATATCATGCTTAGAAAGGTGGAGGTTTGGCAAAACCGAAGATCTTCAACCAGATGGATTGACATGGTGACTGCAGCAGTGGGTTCAAATGTGTCACAGACGATGAGGATGGCACAGGATAGGACAGAGTTCAGGTCTGGTGTTCATAGTCATATATGACTCAACAACACTAAAATAACCAGTGTGAATTTTTTTTTAATTTTTATTTTATTATTTGTGTGTGTGTGTACCATCAAATCAGATCTGACTGGTACAGGAGGAGATTGTCCCTCCTTCCCCGGCAGAGCATCTGGTGGATTTGAACCATGCGCCTCTGGGAGCCAGTGTGAATTTTTTAAAAATCAGATTTTACATTTTGTTTAGTAGCATGAGCATGAAAAAGGACTGAGAGGCAGAAACCATATCTCCTTTTTGCTCACAATCTTCTTCCTGCCTAATCTTCCTATGCCTTCTATCTTTTCCCAGGATACTGCCTATTCCCTGTGGTTTCTCGGCTCACCACAGAAGATTACTACAGGTGATTCCCACCTACTCAGTCCAGGAAGTTGAAGTGGGCCAGGTTCTGAGTCTGGTGAACAGCAGCAGTTAACAGTGTCCCATTCTTCCAAGTCAAGGTGGATGTCCTCTGCTGGAGGGTTTAGGCTGCTCTGTCAGGAATGTATCAAGAGGGTAGGCCAGCCCTAGTGTCCCCTGGGTCCCAGGGATACCTCTGACGAGGCTCTATAAGGACATATCTGTAGGTGCATGAGACACCAAGGGGGAGGCACAATGGGATTCCCCATTGTGGGGGCATTTCTTGGTCGAAGGGGAAGTACCCTTGCCCCTTTCTCTCCCTTTTTAGACTTCATTAAAGCTCCACTAAGCTTGGCTTACACGTGATGTCCTCCTTTGAGCAGAGACTCCATCCAAGTCATTTTATCATCAATGGGCAAACCACAGGAGTGAGGGGAGCTGAGTCAAGGACACTCACTGTGCAGCTAAGAGGTGAGGGAAGCCCCACTCCACTGGTGATGGATGACATAATCTTCTAGCCCGCCTCCCTGTAACTCCTGTCCTGTCACATCTCTGGGACTTCTCTCTCACAGCTTTTCCCACTTAGCCCATGCCTTTATGAACCATGTTTCTTTTTTTGGAGGGAGAGCATATATCTCTCAATATCTTTCTCTTTTATGTACATATATGAAATCAGGGATTGATGCTTTGTGTCCAGCTTTGTGTCTTTTGTATGCATATGTCTCAGATGTGCCATTGCTGGGTGTGGTGGTGCAAACTGAAAAGCTCAGAAATGAAAAATATTTAATGTTCAGAGGAGGAGCAGGCGACAGAGGAATACAGCTTGACATTTGCATTTTCCCTTTCACTCTGACTCATCTTCCCCTCTCCCCACCTCACTGCTCCTCCACTAGCCTCACCCTTTGACACACCCTATCTTATCTAGGAAGGGTTAACACCTGCTCACACCCAACTAGAATGAGAATTAAAGAGAAGAAGGCAAGTTAGGTGGAAAGGGAGATGAGTAGGCTGGTCTGAACAGATTTGGCCTCTCAGAACTAAAAGGACAAACAAACTGTTCTTTTTGTTACTAGAACAGCTACCAGCACCTGACATTCTTGTTTATCATCAAGTTCTTTATTGGGCATATAAGATATGCCAGACACAAACTGTACCTCCTTTATCAACATTTATTGGATGAATGTGTCATTTGCTACAGGAACAGGGATAATATAACAAGAAACAGAAAAAGAAATGCGAGTTTCCCAGATCAAAAAGCTAAAATTAAGAGAGGGCTGGGGGAAACCTCTAGGGACTGTGACCTTCTGGGCAGGAAGCGAAAGAAACCCCCAAGTTCTGATTTCAGAGAAGTATTTGTCATCAGCCCAAGAAAAGTTTTTTATCTCTTCAAAGACCACCACAGGCCCTTCCTGGGGTTGCCCCTTCCAGGGCTGACAGGAGAATCTGTTACTAACACTCCCCATGGTGGTGCAGATACAGAAGTCATTTTTATAGTTAGGCATCCCAATTCCAACAGTCGGGGAGAAGGAGAGTGCCTTTATCCCCTTCCCTTCTTTGGAACCCATTAGTTTCTGCCCTTTTTAACTGTTGAGATAGGAATGGAAACAGCTTCCAGCCTCCAATAGCTCTATCATCACTTCCAAGAAATAAAACTTGAGTGATGTTGTGCCCTTACCACTTTCACATGTCATTTCATCCTCACCCTCGCCTCAAAGTGTCAGAAACAGAAATTACCCGTTTCAGGGATGAGGTAACTGAGGCTCGAGGCGGTAATTTGTTCAAGATGACGCAATTGGTAAATGGCAGAGATGAGACTCTGATGAAGGTCTGACTACCCCAGAGTCCTGTGTCTGGCCACAGAGGGCCTTCTGTGACTCCAGGTTACAAATGAAGTGACAAGGCTGAGAACCTGGCATCTGGAAGCAGAAGGGTGGCCTCCTCTGGAGGGGTGATGCTATGCTAAAGGTATAAAACCACACCCCCTCAGGGGACCGTAGCAGACTGATACTTGGGACATCCAATGTGGGAAGACTGTGAGGTCAGGGGTGGGGCTAGTTCCAGGGGGGCTGGGGAGCCCCAACAGCAGTTCAGAGTATGCTGAGAGTCCAGTGAGGAAGCTACGACTGGTGAGTGGTTGCTTCATGCCAGCTGAGCCTTTGCTTCCCACATTACCCCCATTTCTGTTCACTTCCTACCCATGTGGGCCCTCTTCCCAGGGTTTCCAAGTAGTAGTCCTCCCTCCTGCGGGGTCCTTGCTCATGATGACCTGTTGGGCACAGAGACACTTGGGTTCTATTTCTCTTTAACTGGGCTTCCCAATTCTCTTCTTGAAAGTCAATGGTTTTGATGGGTGATAAATTCCTTGTTAGATACCTGTCTGTTCACTTTTTAAGCTCATACAAGCAACATTAAACCATCTTTATATCCTATCCTTGTGAGCAAATAGCCTCCCTCATACATATAGTTCCTATTTCCCCTTTTTTCATTATTTCTCAAGGGTCAAAAGCTTTTCCAACACCTTCCTCCTTCCTCTACCCTGAAGAGCTCTCTCCTGTAATGTCTGCACCTGCTCTCTTAACTTACTGAATGGGAGGTTTTGGTCTCATCCAGTCTGCGCTCTGAAGATGCATTCTAGAAGTTTCTGCCGATGGGGAAATGGATAATCAATGCCTTACAGTCTGCCTTTCTGTGCGCCCTCTTAGCTTCTTAGGAGCCTCAATACCACCTACCTGATGGGTTCAAAGGGAAGGAGACACACCATCGTCTCAGACTGCTCATAGATGCCAAGGCTTGTGATGGAAGCCTGTTCTACACCAAGGCCTTTCACTGTAAGGAGGACTTGAAGCAGCAAATTCCTATCTGCTATTGTTTAAGGCAGTTTGTCAATTGGCAGACTCAATAATTGCTAGCCTTAAATCAACTGCTTGATATTTTTAACTGCCTGATCCCTGCTTTTAAAGTCTAACTTTGGTCTCATTTCCACTTCTCTGCTTCCCTATCCCTTTCAGGATTCTTGACAAGCTCTGGTCCTCTCTTGGGCTAGTTTATTTTCTCCATTTCAGGATAAAGACCTTAGACGCAGGACCAATGACTCACTCTTTCTCCCCTCACCTCTACAGGCTGGAGAATATGCTGTGCCTTTCTTCTTTGCCCACCATGGACCTTACAGTGTGGTTTCTCTCTCAGAACCTTTGAGATTGGTACCCAGACCGGACACAATGTCCCTACCCTCTATGATATTACACAGCCCCTACAGTTCCGATCGGCTGGTCCAACTGGCAGCCAGGCTCTGGCCAACACTGTGTGATGCCCTCATCTCGGTGGGGAGTCAGGAGTTTCCTGCTCATAGCCTGGTACTAGCAGGTGCGAGCCAGCAGCTGGGTCATGGGGGCAGGTGGGCGCTAGCAGAAGGCGTCAGCCCTTCCACCTTCGCCCAGCTTCTGCACTTTGTTTACGGGGAGAGTGTGGAGTTGCAGCCTGATGAGCTGGGACCCCTCGAGGAGGCGGCCAGGGTGCTAGGGGTCCAGGCCCTGGAAAAAGCATGCAGGAAGGCTCAAAGGAACTGGGCTAAAGAAGTGCAGGACCCAGGGCTGAAGACACATCAGGAGTCAGGAAAATACTCTAAGGATTCTAAGAGAGAACTTGGGGACCTTGCAGAGAAGCAGACACAAGGGTTTTTCAGAGTTGGAGGGAAAGAAGAGGAGCTCTCGCATAAGCACAGGCCACCAAGAGGTAGCCTTGAGGTGACAGGGGCAATGCCACAGGTCCTGGGGGAACAGATAAGATCAAAGGAAGGGAAACTCAGCCAATTCTCTACTGGCCACCAAGGAGCAGATGGGAAGCCAGGAGTGGTCATGTGGTTGAGGGAGAGTCCAGGGGGCCCTGTGAAAAGTTCATGGGAGGCCCCTGGCTCCCTTCCCCTATCAGGTTCCCCACAAGCCAACATCATCCCCAGGCCCTGGAGGGCTGAGGCCTCTTGGGTAGGGAAGGGCCAGCCTTCACGGCAGAGCATCCTGCTGTTGCCACCCAGATTTGGCACCCCCTTCTCCCATAGCACCCCCATCACTGGAGCCTGGCAGGAGCTCTGGCCTTGGAACCAGAGGTGAGTGAAGGGCCTAGCAGAACAGCCTGAAGCCGGGAGGGAGAGGCAGCAGTGATGGGTGGAAGGGCAAGGCACCACTTCTTATGTCTTCTGAACATTTCCTGAGCAGAGGATGAGACAGGAAGCTCAGAGCTCAGTCCCTAAGAAGGTTCCAGGCCACTCCTCTCCCCAGGAAGCTTTTGCCAAGGGTCTCTGGTTTTAGCCAAGGCTGTAACTCTTCCTCACATCTCTCCTAGGATACCACTGCCCCTAAACCTCCAGAAAGGGCTCTGGAGCCAGAACCCATGGGCCTTGTCCAGCCCCACCCCAGGTAAGCACCTCCTGGCTCTACACATGCTCTACAGCATGTTCTTAACCTCTGGGAGAGGGGCTTCAGGAATCCAGCCTGAGCTGGGCCACTATCTCACTCCCTTTCCTCCAGGTTTCCTGGGGGTGGAGGAGGGGAGAGGCGGTGGGGATGGGGTAGGCAGCAGGCAGGGCATATCCCTACCCTTTTGCTCCTTTCAGGGGAGATAAGGATTTCCTCAGGGTCACACAGGTGAATAGGGTGGGGCCCCTCTGGCCTCAGCCTCTTACTAGTCCTGTTGTTTTGCTGGATATATGAGTGAGCTGGTCTGGGAGTCTCTACCTTGTCTTCCTCTGACTCCTATGTCGTCACAGGCTCGACTGCAACCTATGAGGATCGAGATGGCAGAGTTGGTTGCTTATCTCGCGAACACTCTCCTCTGTTCCCTCCTGTTCGGGCTCGGCCCTATTCTTGCTTGGTCTGTGGCAAAAGATTTTCACTCAAGCATCAGATGGAGACACACCACCGAGTCCACACAGGTATGGGCATTTTTGCCCAGCAAGAGTCACCTGCTTCTTTCCCAGTTCCAAACTGCATATATCCCCGTATCCCTCTTCATGCATCTTCTGTCTCCACTGGGCTCCCCCTGTGTTCACCCTAGGTGAGAAGCCCTTCTCCTGCAGCCTCTGTCCGCAGCGCTCCCGGGACTTCTCCGCCATGACCAAGCACCTGCGGACACATGGTGCCTCACCTTACCGCTGCTCTCTGTGCCAGGCCGGCTGCCCCAGCCTGGCCTCCATGCAGGCTCACATGCGCAGCCACCCTCCGAGTCAGCTCCCACCAGGATGGACCATTCGCTCCACCTTCCTCTATTCCTCCTCTTCTGGGTCATCTCGTGCCTCGACCTCTCCTAGTAGTACCCCACCCTCCACTACCTGAGCAAATGTCTGCTGCTTCTTTGGATTCTGGCTAGAGTTTAATGAAAGAATGATAGGTGAGCCGGCTGGCCAGCTCGGCTCCTGATCAGACAAACTGGGTTCCGGAAGCCCTGAAAGAAGAGCGTTTTCCCCGATGAACGGGCTGCAGAAGCCTGGGCTTGGGAGAGCCCGAGTAGAGTGAGGTTTGCAAAAGTGGCCAACTGTACTACTGTATCTAGCGATTGCATACAATAATATAATAAAAATAAAGAGTTTTTACTGTATATTCCTATCAGTATAAGAATTATCAAATCCCAGTCTGGAATCTATGGGCGTGGGGAGTAAAGGGTGGGAGATGGGGGTGGAGAAACGACCTTGCCCTGTTGTCCTGTAGCGGCCCCTGGTGGCCGTGCGTCCTCTGTCCAACGCAAAGGCCACTTTCTCCATCTCCAATCTGGAGACAGAGGGCTTAGAGGGGCCACGTTCGAGCTGACTTTGCAGAGATCCCAAGTCACCTGCTTCCATAGCAAGCAATGACCCATGGGTACGAGTAGGCCAGGGCTCCAGAGAAAGCGTGTACCCGGCCGTCAGTCATCTGAAGGCCTTCCTCTCCTGGCATAAGGACTCCTACCCTCAGCTGTTGTCTCTCCCAGAATGGTCCCTACAACATACCACGCCCATCGGGCGCCGGGCGGCGTTTAAGACTGGAACTGTTCCTTTACCATCACAGCTTCTTCCCCAGCCCACGCCTCCGGCAGTTACAAACTTCATTTCCCAGGGACTCCCAGGTTCCCACGGTCCGAAGCTCACTGCACTCTGGGTATAATAGTGCCTACGAGTCACCTGCCCCAGCGATAGCAATAAAAGCCATCTAGGGAGAGGACCATACCTTCCAGTCAGTCCTGGGCGCTGGCTTTCCCGAACATGCTAGGGACTTTCTAGTCCCAGCTTTCGCTACCTTAATTCCCAGCGGAAGGAGCAAAGCTCCTGGACTACATTTCCCAGAGGCGCCTGCGCCGCGTTCCTCTCTCCCACCCCATCCAACGCCGGCCGCGACGCACGGTCCGTGCTCCCCGGGCGCGGGCTGAGTGACGGCCGACAGGCCGCGGACTCCCGCTCCCGTGGTGCCCCGCGCGCGGCCGGCCCAGCCTCCGGCTCCCGCCGGCCCTGGGGCGGCGCTGGTTGTTGTAGTGAG